AGTGTACTGGCGAAGCGTCCAACCATTAAACTTCCTTAGAAGTTCCAATATTTATATAGATCAACAAAGTTCGACGATCTGCCTCTGAAGGAACTTCGAAACCGATCCCAAATACTTTAGACTCCGTTTTAAGCGGTTTCTACGTCAGGCGAGCCAAAGTCTTAGGTTCATAGCTGTATATATACGACCACCATACTTAAATTATTCTGCCGTTGTGTTAAATATTTCAATTATCCGCTGGAAGGGTAACTCTCTATGTCGGTCTTTATAACTTTCTAACTCATCTTTGATAACTGAAAGTCGTAACACCTGGGATTAAAAAGAAATGTGGTAACCACGGGACTACTTGGTTTCAGGCTAGTGCTAGATCGGGTTCGCTTCTGTAAGTCATGGCTACACCAAAAAACAAATCGCAAATTCGGTTTCATTCGCCTTCTGATCCTTTTATATGTTATAATAAAATTCCTTTTGCATAGCTCTTACAACAGCCAAATTTTCCCTCGTACACTCTATCTACTTACCGGAAAAATAAACTGTCATCTCCGGTCAAAGTGTAATGTCTTACATCCGCTGAAGCGCCTACATTGCCGTATGTGAGCTGCTTGTTTACCCGCTTTATGTACTTTTCCACTACACACAATGACGTGCTCTTCATGAGCTTGAGTTTTTTATGCACTCCCGCACACACGTAGAGACCGGTCGACGAAACCCGCTGTGAATGCCACAAAGCCACAATACTCATAAACTAGACAAGTCAAAAGGCAATGATATTTGGTTCGTTGAGCAACTCGAGCAGGACAAATAGCGTCCGTCCGTCCAGCCAATGGCATCTCTTAGCCAACCACTCAGGCCACTTACGTCGCCAGGCGTCACGTCAACGCAACGTACGCTATGCCGTAAGCCACTGCCTCTAGCTGCTTGAGTCCACTGGCATTTATGTATCTTTCTGCTTTGTTGAAGTTCAAGTGCGCACAGTAATAACAACCAAACAATATAAGCTCTTATAAACAGTTGCACAGACGTACCGACACACGACATACAGTTCGGCAGGCAGACAAAGCCTCACAAAGATCCAGGTAGAACCAAAGTGCTGACAACGTAGTCAACCTGAAACCAAAGTGCAGACAGTCTGCCGGAGTGTAGAAGGCGCATGGGTAAGCGCCAACTCCATCAAACAATCGTCAGTCATTAGTACGAACTGCCAACCCTCCGTCTACAACCGTGCGCCGGTTGCTGCGACCCTTTGTACTTGTATGCGGTGTGGCGGGAACTATGGTTCTGCAGTTGGTTTGCACGAGACACGTTTGCGTTGCGTCCATTACGCAATGACGCATGTGTTTGTATGCGTGCGTGCGTCAGTGCGAGTTACGTTCGGTCATCCGTTTAAATTTGCTGTGATGCGGATTAAATTTAATTACTTTATGGACCCACGTGAGTGGCAGACCGCCAACTGCTCAGCCCAGCATGGCCCAGCTCCGTTGCTTGGCACATAAACCAGCTTCTTCGACTACATGGCCGGCGCGTGCGTTGGCTCTAAGGCGTGCAGCGTCTCATTGGATCCTGCTGCTTAATGACCACTAGTATCTGTTATCCTGCGGTGTCTTTGTACACAAATGTGAAGTAATACTTGTTTTAATGAGAATGCATTTTCGTGTTCGGTTTCGGTGCGAGCCAAATCGTATTAAGTAAGTTTTGCCAATACCAAACAAATATTGAAGCAGCACACCGGGGGGTAATTTTAGAGCACACAAACTTTCCGTACATTAACTAAAATATTGGTTTTGGGCAAAGGCTAATAGCTGTCACGTAAAACTCTGTCATCGTTGCTTTTATAAACCCACATGTCACACATGTGCAAATTACTTGAAGGTTAGCCAGAGGAAGTCTAGAGTTGAGTGAAAAGTGTTTGTGCAATTTCTTGTTCTTTCTACGCATTAATATGTAACTAGTGCTGTAAAGTGTTTTGTTGCTTTCTGCATAGTTGGAAGGTACCGAGCGCCTTTTACTTCGAGTTGTAGTAAAAGTATGTGAAGTGTGGTTAAAACTATGTTAAATGATAGAGACTATCTTCACTTCAAGATGGCTGCTTTCGCTGCAAGCGTTTACTATTTACGATCCCAAAAACGGTTACATATACATAATCCATATCGAGAGTTTTTGTAAGATCTGATTTTGACAAAGTGTTTTTGTAAGACCTGATTGGACTGAACCGACAGTCATCTTGTTGAGACCATATTGGCAGTGGAGTACTTATTCTCATGTTTGCTAACACAACAAATATTCCGGGCAGCGAACGTAAAGATAAAACAAGTATCACAGAATCTAGCGCTCGAGCTGCTCTTGTTAGAAACGCGTAACGAATTTTGTCTTGTTCTAAGTTAGACTAAATAATTTTTGGGTTTACGTCACCTTACTGCATAAGAAAGATTAAATACAACGGTACTCAAATTTAATACTCACAGTCGGCATATTAAAACCGTATGATGTGCAACTTCATAGCTGATACTACGGAAGGATGCGCCTCACCTCTCACTACCACTTCCGTTGACTTCTTTCATGTCGGTAGTGCTGTTAAACCCTACTAGAGTTAGTATACCAACGTCGCCATGGAAAGAACGTGGTGAGCAAAGGAGCATTTAAAGCTATTACAATTAAAGACCAACGATTACAGACTTTGGAGCGCAAGCAATGTCCATTCAGAATTGTAAAAAGAAACAGAAATCAAGCTGTTAAACCAGAGAGAAATGCAACGCTGGGTCGATTTTTGCTTCCATTTGGCAAAAGATCAAAATCGTTCCAGATTCGTTTCAGATTCGCACGAAAATATAACGCACACATGCACCTTTATCGAACCAAATATTACAAGTATATTATAGCTGCTAGAGTATATTATTTAAAATGTTGCGTATACGCCACGGCGCTCATACAAATTGCTACAAAAGCCACAATGTCTCTTCGCATTTGTGTAATTGAGCGAAAGTAACTTCAATTATAGAGTTGAACTCGCTTGAGCGCGCATTTATTTATTACTTTGTGCAAATTTATTACTATTTTCTTAGTTTTCTACGCCTCGGCGCACAAAGAAAAATATTTCGGAAAATTTACAAAAAACTTTCAAGCAAATAATTAAAATGCAGCAGCAACGGTGAGAGTATCATTTGAAGTAGCGCTGTACAGCAAACTGTGCATAATAAAATAACATTTTCGAAAAAATAAAGACCAAATGGCGCTTAGAATAAGAAATAAATTTACTTGAATAAAAGCAACTTTTGAGCGCACAAAAAAAAACCGAATAAAATTCTATACAAATTTAAGTTTTTGCAGACACCAGCACGTTTGGCAAAAAAATAAAACATGTAATAACAACAACAAAATGAAAATGACAACAACCAATAAAATTTGCATACACACTCATACACACGCACACCTCAACCGGCAGCAGGCATTGCATATTAATGCGCCCAGCAGTGTCCTTGTGCCTGCGGCTAAGCGGCGGACGCCGGCGTAGGCAGTGGCGGTCAATGCTTTCATTGCGCACCTGCTTGCAAATTTGGCCACGCATTTTCAAGCATTTTCGTGTCTAAGCATGTATTTGTGTGCAGCTGTGTATATGTGTGTGTGTGTGTTGCATTTGAAAATCGCTTACGCATTGACATAACGGTGCATGCAGCAAACGCTGCTGTGGAATTTTCAAGTAGGGCGCTCAGATAAATAACTACGTGTGGGTGTGTGTATGTGTGGTTGCAATTTATTGTGCATGCACTCGTATGTGTGTGTGTGTTTAAATGTAGTTTTTACGCCTGCAACGTTCGCGTTTGTATTTGTGGCTTTTTATGCGAATTGATTTTAATTTCACGAGAATTGTTTTACACACGCCCTCAATGCAGTTGTGTGTGTAGATATGTGTGTGTGCCACTTTTTGCCACATTTTACTGCTGGCATTTTTCTAGGCTTTCAGGCTTTTGGCAACCCTTTAGTTTTATGATAGCTTTGGTGTTTTGCATGAGAATTGGCGCCAGAACGTGCTGGCCGTCGACACCTGCCGCTAACTTGTGTGTTGGTGGTATAAAGTACATTATTTGCGTGCTGTGGCAAATTTTTTCAATCATCCTCATAATGATATGACAATCGAAGCTTCCAAACCACTCAAAGTAGACATAAGCTTTTTTGTTCAGAACACAATTTTAAGTGAGTAAAACTCTTCTTCTAATAATGCAAAATTTCACAGTTCAGCAAATGGGACATTGCCGATTTTCGTGGATCTAATAAGGTGATACACCAGGCGTGGAAAATAGCGGAGTTGCCAGTTGGGAGAACATATAGCTTTCTAAACACTATAGTTTTGTACTTTTATGTATGTCAACATGAGACACGAAAAACTTGATGAAGATTTCAAGAGGTCGGGCAGAAATTAAATATATAGTCGGCAGGTATTTCCGACTTAGGTGGCATTGCGGAACACGAAAAAAGCTTAGCTTCCAGCAAACTCAATCTCAAAGTTACCAAAAAGGTACTAAGATTGCCATTGCCATTCACCAACCAACGTCTCTAATGACTAAAGTTGTTAGAAAATCAAGCAACGCAGCAGCGAGCTTTGAGTTTAAAAACTATGTGAACTCACAGTAGTGGAAGCCGAAGCCTGCATTTTTATGTTACGCCTAAAGTAAATATACCAGATAATAGCATGAACATGCTCAAATGTAGCATATATTCCACCGAGGCAACATAACTCGCAATTGTAGACCGGACTTGTAACTGCTTGAATTTGTAGAACCTTGAAGCTCGCTTATTGCTGATATTTGATTTGTGAATTAAATGTTGGAAATAATATTTGCACCACAGGTAGCATGCTAACGAAAAATAAATGCATTCTTCCTTTTAGATCCCCTTTACCTCTCTTTACTCTAACATTTATAACCCTTTGAATTTTTCCATATAATCTTTTACACTTTTCTCAACATGCAAATTAATTTCACAACTGCATTTGCTCTTATTTCCAGCACTGTGGATCGTTTGTGGTCGATTACGGAGGATTTGAATATTTTATACAAAGAGAATTGGACACGTCTGGCCGCGCAGGAGGTGCAACATTTTCAGGTAAGTGTCGGCGATTGCAAATGAATAGCAAATAAAGACTTGAGCATAAAAATGCACGAAAAGCAATTGAATGCCAGCGATCGCAACTTATATTCAGCCATAAATGCACGCACACAAATACTATTAAACACCAGCTGCCTGCTCAATATGCACACTAACTATTCATTGCCGATTTCTATTACGGCTGTAGACTTGAAATGTGACCATTGTTGGCCGAATTCATTTATTCAAATGTCCGGCACCCAAAAATTGTCACACACGCACACACACACACGGTGACGCAAAAGCGTTTATGTGCTTGTGTACAGTTACACTCGTGCATGACTTGCTTGTTTCACTTTGTAATTTATTTAATGGCGCCACACACACACACATGCACGCCAGTGCCTTTTTCTTGCTGGTTTATGGACTCGCATGCATATACATACATACATATATGTATGCGTATGTGTAGGTGTGTGAGTGCGAGTTGTTGTTTATGCATTTTCACATACTTATTTACATACTTTGTTGACTTGCTCGACTTCATTGTTTCTGCTTGACTGGCTGCCACACAAATGACAGCATGTAAACTCACACACACATACATGCATAAAAGCAAGCAGGCTCATTCATTGTGCTTCTTATACCCTGAACAGGGTATACTAAGTTTGCCACATGTAGCAGACGTCAAAGACTCTTTTAAAATATATATGTACATAAATAATCGGCGTAGCGAGCTAAGTCGACCAAGTCATGACGCGTTTGTCTGTATGTATACGCACTAATCCTTCAATTTTTGAGATATCGATCTGGAATTTGGCACACGTTCTTTTCTCTCCAAAAAGCTGCTAATTTGCCGATATCGGTCTATTATAGCATATAGCTGCCATACAAACTGAACAATCGGTATCAAGTGCTTGCATGGAAAAGTTTTTCATTTGTTGAGATATCTGCACGAAATTTGGCATAAAATATTGTCCAAAGCAACGCTACAATATTTGTGTATATTGTTGGAATCGGATCACTATACCACATAGTTGTCATACAAACGATATTTGGTTTAGATTATTGTCTCAAGCAACACTACAATCGGCGAATATACTTGTATTATTCAAATCGGACTACTATAGCCTTACAAACTGACCGATATTCTTTTTCGTTGTGTAGGGTATTATAGCTTCGGTACAACCGAAATTAATTTTTTTCTTGTTATTTGCTGTTGCTGCTGCTGCACGTGTCCACCTCGTTGTTGTCAAGGCAGTGTGCTCCACATATGCACGTATGTGTGTGTGCGTGTGTAGTATATGTATGTTAACATGCAAAGCACATTCTAGCATTTTCAGCAGCTCTAAATATTTGTAATGCGCTACAAAGTATCTACGCCGGCACTCACACACATTTGCATGCACATTTTCCTATTCATTTTCAGTTTCGTTGCTATTTTCAAAAAAAAAAAAAAAAAAAACAGAAGAAAAGTTTCGACACTCATTGCTCGGCTGCTACACTGAATTATTCATTTAGTTTACTTACTCTCACACCCGTTTGCTTGCCAAATCGCTTACTTAACCAAATATAATATGTAGTGTGCTTATGCTTCTTCTTCTTCCCGCAGGAGACTTTATTGCGCGCCGTTCGCCAATCGAAAATTTATCAGCCCGGCGAACAAATGAATCCACCCACACACAAGTGGACTTATGCATCGGCGTTTCTTTATTCATTAACATTAATAACAACAATAGGTGAGTACACAACAACACACACAAATAATTGTGTAGTGATATTATCTCTATATATAAATAAGAAACAATGGCTTTATCTGTTACATTGACACACAAATAATGAGTTTGTGCCTGCGACCGATTTTCCTACGATTGAAATGCATTCTTTTGTGTGTATGTGTGTGTACATGTATTAGTGTTTGTAGTGCTGTGGGGGCACGCGCTAGTTTATCTATTAATTTGCTACTCATACAGCAGTCAAAGTGATGTGCGACCTTTCGAGTGTTTAATTTGCTAATAAGGGGCTGGTTGCGGGGTTGAGGGGAGCAGTGCTGCAGCCTTGCTGTGTAGCTTTAATTATTTCGGGTAGAAAATTATTGGAATGACAGGCAAATTGAAGGATGAGTGTTGTTTTGAACGACTTATAGCTGTTGACTAAGTGAAATCAATACAGGATGACTCAGAATATATATAAATAGACATACAATATATTTGGAACAATTTAAAAAGAGAAAAATTGTTGTGTTTTTATTTTATATTACATAAATGCATATTATTTTTAATATATACAATATATATATTTTTTTAAAATAAATTTTTACAATATTTTTACAAAAAAAAAAAAAATTGTACAATAATTTTTGTATTAATTAATTTTTGTATTAATTATTGTACATTTTTTTTTTTTGAATTCAATATTTTTTAATAATGTTACCAAATATTTTCGCATAAAACGGGTTAAAAAAAATGTATTGCTTTAATTTTCAAAAAATAAAAATAAATAAAAAAAACTTTAAAAATTAACAAAAAAAATTTTTGCAAAAAGTTTCATTTTTCAAACTCTTTTATCATAAATAATATTGAACAAATGTTAAAGTATATTTACTATAGCTGACATTTACCCTCCTTGCCGTATTTAAATAATGCTGTATTTTCAAAATTGTAATATACTCAAAGTTGCACAAAATTCAATGAAATATAGCAAACGTGCAGAAATTGCGTAGTAAGAGCGCGGAGAGCGCAAATTAGCCGAAACTTAAGAAAATTTGCTAGCGCGAGCGTGCAAACTTTGCAAAATTTCATGAATTTCCAGAAATTCGCTCGCAAACAATAAATTGCCAGCTTATTATATACACAATGCATTTATTTTGCACAAATAGTTGCTTGCGTGTGTGGTTGCGTCTGAGTTGCGTGCACATGCTTACCATAAACTATTACTTTAATATATGCCTTGGCGTATGAGCCACATTTTTTACGCGCAGGCATTTATTAATTAAAAGAGCGCAAAATCTTGAAGCGAAAGCAGCACCATGGCGTATGAGTAACGCTTGGAATGAGGAGGCTATACGCATAATATTTTTGCAAACAAATTTTGGATTTCTAAGCCACAGTATGAGTACACAGTATAAAAGTGAAAAAAAATTTTCATGTCGTAAAGTATTATTTTAACAGTTAATTGCACGGACAGCGTGCTGCTGCTAACTAGTGCGCCTACTTAACGCTCTTAAGCTGCCCCATCGCACTAATACCCCGATTACTTATTTATGCTCATAAGCTTAGCTGCCATCTGCCCTTGCTCCGAATACAAAAGAAATAATCCTGCGCTGTGCTGCCGCTCCCTGTGCCCTAAATAGCAAAATAACCAGCAAAATATTAGCACAGTGACATACGGTGCTGCTAAGCAGAGCAGAGCAGCGAAAGAAGTGGAAAAGACGAAAATAAAATCACTTGTGCTGATCGCCGCGCATCCAGCAAAGTGGCTGCTGTCCATTGAGTTAATAGCGACGACAACAAAGGCGAAAAACGTGTCTGAGTGGCTGAACAGCTGTATTTGTGTATGGCGTGTAGACAAAGAGCGTTCGATATGCGCTGGCATTGCATTTCTCACGTATTTGAAATTAATTTGTGCTTAGTATTGGCTGTGTTTAGTTTCTTTTGCTTGTTTTTTTCTGCTCTGCCACTCATATTTTATTTGCTAAATCAATAAGCTGTCGGGTTGCAAGTGATACGGGCTTATGTGAATACACTAATAATGCCTCAGGTATTACTGCAGCGCGCTAAATGTGCATATCATACACGATTTTCATTGGTAAGCTTGTATGTGTGCGTTCGTGTAACTGCACCGCAAAAGTTGAAAGAGAAAAAAAAATCGCCGCATATTTGCACAACACTGCGTATGAGCAACTAATTTGCAGGAAATTTAAATTGGATTTTTTGGGGAGGAGTGGGTTTTAGGAAAGGAGTTGCGATGTTAACTAGCTATAAACGAAATCTTCAGTCGCTTGTCGCAAATATGTTGTCTCACAATTCTGACGACAATATTGTCAGATGCGCTTTTTGAGCTGATATAAAGTGGCAGAAGCGCACATATGCCGAAAGCAACCTCTTGTTAGCAATAATTATTTAATTTACATTATTTGCAACGTTTGTTATCAATTTACCGTTGGCTAAACATCTCTGTTTTCTCTCTTAAATCTCCATGCAAATAATAATGCTTTTTTTTGCTCTTACTTCACCTTATATCTAATCTTATACAGCTGCCAGCCACAATCGCAACCGAATATTAATACGAAAATGTATAAATTTGTGCAATATCCGAGCGCCCAATGGTCATAAAAACCAATTATTTCTTACCGAAATATACCTAAATTCTAAGCACAAAATATTTATTTTATGACAATTTACGCTGACAGCCCTTTGTGCGCATCGAAAGTCCCAGCGCCAGACCGCAAATAAATAGCAAATCAAGAAATTGAAAATTGATTTCGACTCACTCATTTAGACTATTTTTCAACTGATTGGATGCTCGCATGTGTTTGCGCATATATACTTATGTGTGTGTGTGTGTGTGTGCTTATCTTCTTCGGCATCCACACATGTGTGCATTTATGCCTCGCAGTCAAGCGTCAAATTTTACAACGAAAATTTTATAGTAGGCAATAAATCGTTAAATGCTCTGGGGATGAATGGCGAATGAGGCGTGCACAGCAATGAAGATGGAAAATATTAAAATGGCAGGAAAAGCAGCCATAACTATTTTGTGAGCAAATAAGTATATAAAATGTAGCAATCAAGGAATATAGCGCAAGGAATTCCTGTGAATTTGTGGCAGCAACGAAATTGAGGCAATAATGATATTGAAATAGCTACTTTTATATGTACATATATGGAAGAATTAAAGAAGAAAATAGAATTGCAAGCCACAGAAAAAAAGAAAGCGCCAAAGTGGGAGCGTGTGTGTTGTAATGACAGACTATATTGTATTGAAATGTGAGATATTAACTGAGAAAGTATGTGGCATAAAATGTAAACAGACGTTTGGTATAAAAAAGCGTAAAAAATCGAATAAATTAGTAAACCCGACATTTCGGGATTGCCTTTAAAAAATTGAAAATTATATTACTAAGAATAAGTAAACAAATATTATTAAATATTAAACCAAATAAGTGTTATTATTACCGTAGTTCCGGGATTGAACCCGAAATTTCGGGATAGCCAGAAATTATATTAATAAGCATAAGTTAACAAATATTATTAAATATGGAACCAAATAAGTCTCGTGGTTTCGGGATTGAAAAAATAATCCCGAAAATATTGTAAGAGCGGATGATTGAAACCTTACCCTGTATGTATGTATGTATGTATTTATCGAAATAATAAAAAGTATGTAAGTTTTAAGCAAAGCGCAGGAAATATAATCGCAATACAGTTTCGGGACCGCTATTTTCAAAACTCGCAATCCCGAAGAAAACTTAACATTAAATGCTTTGGTTGACACAGTTTAAAAAGAAAAATTAAATAATGTGAGTATTGTTGCGTGAACAGTAGGTCCATGACATTGTTAAATCTATTCAACTGTAAAAAGTTAAGAAAGAAATAAACGTAAAAAAATACAAAAGCCAAACTACAATGTCGAGCAAAATTTTTCACATATTTTTCGCGACAAATACGCGGGTATACCGTTAAAATAAAAAATTAAATTAAAAAAGCAGAAGAATTGGTATGAAAGAGAAACTTCAATAAAAGGTGAAAACTTTCGAAAGTTACAAAAAAGGAAACTGTGAAAAACAGCAAGAATTCAATAATAACACCCAGAAATAATGAAATGTCAAATTCTGTAAAAAATTGAATGATAAAATTGCGGAAAACAAGTCCCTTATCATGTCAGCATCAGCGTATTCACGATCATCCCACACACACACACACACACAGCCATGGCTTAAAATTTGCTTGCTATTGTTGTTGTTGTTTCTGTTGTGATAGCCCCATTATCTGCGACATGGGCAAGTTTATTGAACATCATTAAGTTGAGCGTCTGCCGACAGCCAAGCCAACCGAAGCACGAAGTAAAGTGAAGTGAAGGCAAAACTTGAAGTGAAAAGGGGAGGATAAAAATAATAAAAAATAACAAAAAGGTTATACGATTTCATATAAAATCTTTGCGCTATCAACAACAACAACAACAACAAAATCAAACAAACACAACAACATTGTAAATTGTTGCCGTCGAATATGGTTAAAGAATATATGAGCTCAGGCCAAATGTCAAGGGAAAAATTTCGCGCATAAATTGTGTGTAAATCTTGTGGCCTATGTGGACCTATAAGTGGTGCCATGATAGAAAGGGGTAGGAGATAGTAAATTTGATGGCGGAAGTAAATGAGGTGTGATGACGTCGTTAGCGGGCAGACTGAGATTGAGTGGCTGTAGGGTGAAGGGTGAAAATAGTAAGAACTGTTATAAATAGTTCCCACTTAAGTGTTCGTGTGAGAATGAGCAGAAGAGAAGTGTAAAGGTTGTAAAAAAAAAACCAAAACTGAAAAGTGTGGAATTTATAAGTAAGCGCGACATTAAGAACATTTAACCGGAAATTAGTGTGAAATGTAAATTGAAAATATTTTTTCGGTCACTTTTTGCAATATTTTAACGGGGAATTAAAAGTTATTATTAAAAAGAAATTTGCGAAAATGTTTCAAAAATTATAGAATCTCATATAAAATTGCGTTTCCTTTTCTTTTATTTAGTACAACGCTGGTATCTTTTGTGTGCTT